GCAACTGTTGGCAAATATTCATCATTTCTACCGCATCTACGGTAGAACCAACACAGTATTTCGTTGAGCGATGAAACGTGATACGTCAGTAGATTAGAAGTAAGTAGAAATATTTTAGAATGAGTGCACAATTTCTCACATTGGTACACAGTTTCTGTTACACGTTTTCTCCCCAACAAACCTTCTATGCGTCGCTAAAACGCTGCTGTTCTACCACAACAACGATCTCATTGGTAAAAACGACCAGAGAGCAAAGGAACCAAGCGAATAACTTCATACAAAAAAACCAGGCAGCAGAATGTCTAAGTCAGCACAATGAACACACCTAAGGCTTCCGGAACGAGAACAGTACCTTGAATAGGACGGCAAGTAGAGTCACTTCACGCCTAGCAAAGGCCATCACAATTCATATTATTCTTAGATAGAAGGCAATATCAAATTTGCATTCGCTGCATAGTGGACACCAAGAAGCCAGAAGAAAGACTTGAGAGGCACAAGGAGTTACAAGGAAGACGACCAAGTAACAGATCGACGATCAGATGACTCTGACTGAATCATATCAAGCAATTTACATTGTTGCATTGACGCGCCTTTGAATCTGCCTTACGATACGTAAACGGTTGGTGAAAGACCGTGACCCTACAGAAAATTTTCTGGATTCACCGCCCCTGAAATCCAGAAAGAAGAACAGTGAGCACTGAAAATAGTGAAACAACGCGCGATAACTCTACCACACAATATTTAAAGTTAAGAAAAATATAAGCTACATCAGGTATCTAATATGGCGAAACACAAAACGGTCAAGCCACAGGACTATGTGAATTCTATAAACTCTCAAGCTCTCAAGACAAGGGATACAGCGGCAAGGAAGAGATAATCTACATCAGGACATTTCTAGACCTTCAACTAAAACAGTGGCTCTTTCTAAAGACCAAAGTATTGAAAATTCGACTACCAAAGCTTCATGGAGCAATCTCTCACTCTGTTCGGAGCCGATTGAGAAGAATGCTTTATGAGTAAGACTGAGAGCTGAAAACGAAGGATAAATGAAGAATTTATTTTAAACTAAGCAGTAAATTCATAAACCAAGGTCGACGGCAAGGCGCAAGCCAAGGACGATGTCATGAAGATCTGGCAGAATGCGCCTGGATTCCTCGAGACCAATTTAACTTCAGCGATAGACCTGAAACTTTGAGAACGCATTTCTTGTCACAGGACCAGGATGGGTAAAATGAATGTCAGAGCATATTATTAAATTCTGAAAAAGCAAAACACCAGTATCTGAAATTCAAAGCTACACGGGCTTTTCGGCAGCTTTAAATGGAAAAAAGCTCACTGCGAAACGACGAGGTACCCTAGGCACCTTTTCTGGATCTTACGTCAATGTCTTCCTTTCTGCTATTTCCTACTCTTCCATAAATATGTCTTACGACTGTAACTAACAACAGGTGGAGAGCGTTAATGCCATACCCTGTGGTAGCCTCTTATCAATCTTCAACAAACGCCGTCCAAAGTTTAAGCCAACAATAAACTACTCATCAAGTAGGAATAGACCGCATCCACCACCACCCCCGCCCCTAACGAAGCAAATGCGCAAACACGAGAGACAGAAACAAAACACCGCCAAGAAAGAAACATTTGATTCACTCCAACTTGCCGTTTCTTCATTTCGCTTGTTCAGAAAAATGTACCACTTCGAACCACCATCTGATCCATCGCATACCACATATTCAGTTGCCTCTTTGCCCAGCGCAAAGCAAGCTTCAGAACCAGATTGGGTAGCACTGACAGTATTAAACCTTGTGCAACCACATATGCTCGATTGTCTATTAGGCATCTCAGTCGAAGTCCGCATGGTATCGGTATATGTGACTGTTGCCCCAAAAATCTGAGACCCTGCGTCCTAATGATTTTTGTCCTACAGAAGTCTCTTCCATTTTGCTGATATATATTGAAACTATGATGAAAGCGCATGTTGATGAAGCCGCGTCGATGCCATTCGAATTACACCATTTTGCTCACATGCACCGGCGAATTACAATACGAACGATGCCAAATTTAGTGAATTGCATTACACATAAGCTAAATCAAAGACGCTTCGCTGTGAAGACAACTTGACTCTGGTTTTCCTCCTTTTCATCACCAACACTCTCTTAACAGTCAGTCATGACCAAAACTGTTCAGTACGCTTTCATGACGAGACACTGATTCTTACGTCTTCAATGGCTAGTGGATAATGGTTTCAATCGACAACAGCTTGTTCGACTTAACCATTACTGTTCTACCGTCCATCTAAGCAGGACGGCTAGTGATGAGTGGTGCTGCGTTTTCCCTGATATCTTCATGCTGCCCAGAAACAAGCTCCGAAACGACCATGAGGCTATTTGCGTGAAATACACCAGTGACGCTGTCCGTGACAAGAGAACCAGGCCAAGTTTGACTTGGTGGTACACCATCATATAAAAACAGCGATAAGTGAATCGAAGGACGTTGACCTAGCTGTGAGGGTGAAGAAATCAATCGAATCTACGTACACCAACATGAGTTTTCGGGAAGAGATTTACTTGATTGGGTCGATTTAGAATGTATTCCGTTCTTGTTCATGCTAGCTTGGCATCCCGTTCGGCCATAAGATGTTTAGGTACCATATCTCAATAGCATGTTTAGCTGGACTGCCCATGTTGAATATACATATGCAACCGAAACAGGATAGTCTCTTCTTACCTAAGGGAACTTTCAAATCTTCTGGGGTCGGAACCTCTGAAAAGTCTTTGTGAGGCGTGTCACACTAACGGTATCTCACATAGCGCCTATATTATTCCCTAACTTCTTTCTGAAAGATTTTGTAAAACACCCGATATCAGTGAAGCATTTGTTTTTTCAATGTGGCATCGATCTTCAAAAATTATTGATACTTTAGGTAGGTGCCATTATCGTATTGCCAACACGCTGTCCGTTTCTGGGTGATGAATTTCATTCCTTCATCCTGAGCATATGGTTCTGTCTCTGCGCATATTCAAATGCCAAATACATTATCTACCCAATATGGGATAGCACTAGCAGTATTCTAAAAATGAGAATGTTAAATGTGAATAAGGTATACGAAGTTGGAATGCTAAGCTTCAAAAGAATATACAAAACTATCGAGGATCATGGCAGAGTCAATCCTCCTATCCTAACTCACAGGAGCTGCGAGTAGGATTTCTTAATACGATAGTTTATCGCAGAGCTGCTCTGTTCAGTGTGTTTCTTTGCAGGTGACAGAACGATTTTCTCAAAATTGTTTTCCAGTGAAAACTCTGCAAGACTCTGTCGAAAGTGGAAGAAAATCCTGCTGGGTCAAAGATGCAAAGCATCCATCCAGTCAGAGAATAACAGTAAATTCTTTGAAATCGAGCTCTTAAAACGATATCCGCGTGGCGTGAATAGAACCAGAGTAGATGTTGCCATCTTTTGAACATTGGGCGGCCTGAGATCAACCCAGTCACCTCTGCGCGACGCCATTTGACGTTGTCGTTAATGATTTTCGACCCCTCAACGAGTTTGGGGTTGCGTGAAGGAACGAAGACCTTGGCCTGCAGATATGAGAGCAACTCGTCCGGCTTCTGGCTCTTTCAACTTCAGGGTGGTTAAAGATTTTCTCCTCTCAACAGAAAAAGTGACCGGTGAATTCAGTGAAGAAAAAATACTTGTGACAGAGGTTAATGCAAATAGCTTAACACTGGCGAAACATCCTGTCATATGAAAGCTACC